TTATAAGGAGGGATTCATTCTCCAGATAATTAAATGCATAACTAAATAGACACCAAATTGGCATTAAATAAGGCATTTTTGGTCCAGGAGATAATGATAAATAAGTAGTTTTTAATTCTCTGGAATGTACTTAAGGGTTCCAGTTTTCCAGTGATATTGGATAGAAAAATGCTTACAAAAGGATTCCTTTGTCTGCTAAAAATCTACATTTGGCAAGACCCAGATGATGGTGCCAGCTTAGGAACATCACATTGCCTCACCAGTGAGAGGAGGAGTGACACCCTCCTTGATGTCATTCTGGAAGTTCCTTAAAACTTGAGTCATGTCAACAGACTTGGAGGTTTCACCAAAATGTGGTTTAATGAAGTGGCTACATTGATTGCAATATCTATGCTATCCCTACCATTTAGGTTTTTTTTTAATTACAATGTTTATGTTATAATATTTTCTAATTTTTTATTGCACATTGCCCAGAGCAGGGGTCGGCACCCTGGAGCCACATGTGGCTCTTTCATCTCTCTGCTGTGGCTCCCTTGCTCAAAATATGTGTCACAACCACCAATGTGTGACACCTGTTGACATGCAATTTATCAAGCTTTTCAACCCTTGGTAGGCCGATATATGCAGTATCTTCATTTTAGATATCAAAAGAATTTTGTGGCTCCCGGTGTTTTCTTTTCTGTGGTCCAAATGTGTCTTTGAGTGTTTGCCAACCCCTGGCCCAGAGTCATGTTTCTGTGAGATGGGCAACATGTAAATATGATAAGTACATAAATACATACCCAAATGATGGATTAGAAGGACAGTTGGTGGGGGAGGATCTTATTTTAGCATTATCCCTCTCCATTGCTTATAGTCGCAGTAACACTTCATTTCATTTAATAGTAGAGCTGTCTTTGATTTAGGGTTACATTGCTATTTTCCCACTTGTGACCCCTCTCAAAAAATTCATTTTGGTAAAATTAATTAATGCACAGTTCAGTAAATTAACAATGTTCACAGTGCGGAATCTGACACTGGGATAAATGAAAGCTTGGTTTGAAATTCATAGGATGAAAGAGAGAAGAGTAGGATAATAAAATTGCCAAAACTAAGAATAAAATGATAAATCCTCAGAGTATTCCAACCTTAAGAATTCTGCAAGGCCCCCTTCTTAATCATTACTGTACAGTTCATGCTTCAGCATGTTTATTTAAAAAAAACACATTTCTGCTTATTAGAATAATGTACACTCCAAGTGTGATTTTTCTAGAAGTCACATTTGTTGCCCTGCCATTTTATTGTTGGCAACATAAATGGTTTGGTCACTAGATCTCTACAACACTACCACTATCACATTGTATTAGCCACACCACCTGTTTCTTAGCTTTTTGGATAACAAAAAAAAGTGCTATACACTTCATCCCACCTTGCATTTCTTGCAGGGTGATATGTTTTCCTGCCAAGATAGTGATCCTTATATAACTTCTTTTGGGGGCATCTCAGCTGACATTCAGGTTGTGTCTGCTGCTTAAAACAATAACTGAAGAGTGAATCTTAAGCATGTCTTTTTCTTGAATAGGGAAAGTTTCTTAAAAACCCTTCTTCTGAATTATGTCCTCTTCCTCCCTCGCTTTAGCTATTTACAGAGTTTCAGTTTCTAATGTACCGGGATATTTATAAGAAAGCCCTTGAGAATTTGGAACTATACGCAGAGAACACAATTCAACACACTGGCTGAGGAACATTTAAATTGATGTTGTTCTATGGAGGAAAAAACCAAGTCTCAAATAATATGTTTGGAAATGTATGAAAACATTTGGAGATGGTATAGCAGTTTGAATTTAAAACTTTAAATGAACAACATTCAATCATAATTTTAGAAAATCTAAATCTAAAATTAACAAACTTCACCTCAAAAAAGGGCATTGGGAAACAGTTTTTCATCCCAGATTCATTATATTAGATTCTAAGTAGAATCTAAACCAGTATTTTTCAATCTTGGCAACTTTTAAGTTGTGTGGACTTAAAACTCACAGAATGCTGGCTATGGCATTCTGGGAGCTGAGATCCAGACATCTTAAAAGTTGTCAAATCTGAAAAACTTTGATTCTATAGAATTGGGGTGGGTGGATGGGTTATTTTTTCATTCTAAAGATATGTCATGTTAACAGTATGGAAATGTCTCATCTTATTATATTAAGCACTAAGAAAAAATTCCAAATATATTCTGCTATGATCACACTTATTCTTGAACATTTTTGACTACTGATATATTCCTGGAATAATTTCTCCCCCCCCCCCAAAAAAAAACTTTGCCAGATATGATGACAGGCATGCCTTCACTTCTGTAATGTATTGTTGCTTTTCTGACCCGGTATTAATATGTAAAGAGCTGAATATCTGGTGGGTAGCCTAAAGCAGAGGTTCCTAACCTTTTTGGCATTAAGGACTAGTTTTGTGGAAGACAATTTTTCCAGACCAGGAAGCATGGAGTTTGCAACCTAGATGCCTTGCATATTTGTGCTGTTTACAGTAGGCTTTGTACTTCTAATTTAATCTAATGCCTAATGATCTGAGGTGGAGTTGAAGCAGTGATGCTAGTGCTGGGGAGAAGCTGCAAATTTATATGAAGCTTAACTCATTGTCCATTCACCTCCAATTGTGTGGCCCAATTCCAGTCGGTGGCCCCTGGGGGTTGGAGACCCTTGGTCCAGAGAACAATACACTATTATTTTTTCTTAGATAACATCCTTGGGAAAAGATGTTGGTCATTAAATCAATGCAAATATGTGGAGATTGCTTTCCTTATACGCTCTTTGACAGTTACCTTTCTGAAATTCTAAGCAATAATTAATTGCTTAGTATTAAATACGAAGGTCAGCAGTTCAGTCTCTTGTTTGGTAACTTATTACTTAGCCTGCTTTTTCAATTTGAATTTTTGAGCTGTCATTCCTGGGTTAAATGATAAGCACCAAGGAAAGAGCTGCTTTCTCTGACATAAAGACTGCTTTTGCTGCTGACATTTCAGAATGTAATTGTTCTCTCAGGGGTAGTAATAGTTCATTAAATACAAAGCACCAAATACTTGTAAAGAAAGCCAATTGCTTTAGAATTTATGGAATTGTACTGTTAGAAGGTAAATATCTCCATTACACCTTCTAGCCCAAGGGTGGGCCAGATAGGGCCTGATATAAGCCTGGATATGGCCCACAGACTGTAAAATGCCCAGATCTGTTCTAGACAGACAACACTGTAATCTTGGGCATGCCTGCCTCCAGGAAAGTCCAAATCACAAACTGAAGAACCACCTGAGCCTTGAAGTCAAACTTAATATTTTGGAGGAAACTGATAGGAAGTTGGCAGGCATTAAGTCAACCAAACCCTAAGAAATTCCCTCAGGAATATGGAAATCCTTTACAAACATAATAGGATTCCCCCAACTTGGACTCATTACCCAAGATTAACACTAAGGCATATAAAGATGATAAAACTGCCCAAGATGACAGCCCATTCAGGTAATCATTTCTTTCAGGATACCAGAAATTATTTAAAAACAAAAGACCCTTTCCTCTATGGGACTGCCACCTCCAGCTGCAATGTTAATTAAGCAGGAAGCCGGTTGGTAGAATAAATGAGTGAAAAAAACCCACACAAGCTCAACAGGGTGTCTAACCAACCATCCCATTTTGTCCATCCAGCTAATTAGTGTTTCCAATATTTCTTAGAATGGTCCTTGGTGTTCTCTGAGCAAGGCCCCTTCATTTCAACCCTTAATTATAAATATTCTTCTTTATCAATTTCTAGGAGCCAGACTCTATCCCTGGGAGGAGCAAAGGAAAGATTTCCAAATAAAGGTAACTATCTCAAACCTTTAAGTTCCTAGCCTATCTTTTGACTGCTATACTGCACGTTATACTATTGAAATAACATCTGCCTCTGTGTTCTATCGAGAGCCTGGCCTAGATTTGAATCCAGAACTTTCTTCTAACAGTGCTCAAGGCACAATGCTAGAAATTGGGAGACTGTAAGTTCTAGTCCTGCTTCATGCACAGCCAGTTGGATGACCTTTTGATCAGACTCTCTCTCTAAACCCTAGGAAGCAAGGAAGTACAAACCACTCCTGAGAAATCTTGACAGGAAAACTGTACTGACTCAAAGGCACCCCCGCCCCCAAGAAAGATAATAAAGAGCCAGTTTAGTATAGGGATATATAAGAGTTTTGATCTTGCCTTGAGCATGGACCAGTTATCCTCTCTCAGCCTTGGGAAGGCCAGGGCAAACTTTCTGAAAATGTTGACATGAAAAAATGCAGGTTGCTAGGAGTTAAAACTGACTCAAGGCATACACACACACATAAACACAGCTGATAAATTAATTAGGGGGATAAAGATTGGATCCTGAATCAGCTGCCTGTTTTTGTAGGCTGAAAATTGGCAAAATGGCTATCTTCATGCTATTCTCTTGGCCCTGAATCATCTCTTGCCAGGAATTTTCCAGAGAGCAAGGTAGGAGAAACCCTAAGATCAATTCACATATCCTTGCAGGCAGACTCACAAAGTAAATTAAATGGGCCAAAGGAAGGGTAGGCGACTATTTCTGTGTCAAGAGAAATGATACTCTCAAAGAATGAATTGAGAGAATGTTGATATTCATAATTTTTCATTTATGCAAGTCATGCCAGGATTTGTGTAAGCAGATGTTTATGGATACTTTTCTAAACCAGGTGAAAGTGTGAAAAAGCAGTGCTAGAAACATAATGCCCATTTTGTATGTGTGCACGCGCGTGTGTGCGTAGATGTTATTTGGGAGAAGGGAGAATCTGAGCCATTGCTCTTGCTGGTCTTCTTGCTTCCAATTGGTCTTTGGAATTCCATTTCTCCAAAAACTCTGCAACACACTTAAATGTTTTGGCTTCTCTCATCTTTGAAGCAAACTGTTCACCGCAACCTTCAGTGAAAACTAAGACAAGTGGAAAAAAATATGACTGTACTAATATTGATACAAACCAACCGCATGAAAAATGAGTCATACAAAAGTTCTTTCACATTTTGGCAGTTATGAAGATAACAATTTTAAATGCAATTTTAAGTGTAAAAAATCAGAACAAAATATAAAAGGTGCAACATTTATAAAAAAGACTGAACAGAACAATGCAATATAATCCTTGATGATCTTGTTTCACATTGTTTTCTATTGCACATGTTAAAGTCAAGTGACCTAACTTTTACAAATTCATTTTAAATTGGATAGAACTGTTTTAACTTCTCCTTTACTGCTATTTTTAGATTGAGTTAATATTTCTTTTCAACCAATTTAATTCTTTATAAAATTTTACAATGCAGGATTATTTTTATTCTGCATATGCACATTGAATTTGTATCTCTTTTAATAGAATGAACTAAAGTAACATAATGCAACATGAAATATAATTACATTAACCTTTTGTAGTTCTTATTAATAATTTCATACCAAATATGCTATTGGAAGTATTTCTTTTTCTTTTAACCATGCAAAAATAATTTTAAAAAAACCAGCACTGATCTTCAGCAATGTTTTCTTAGAATAAACCAACCAGAGCCCACAGCAGTTTTCAGAGTAGTGCAAAATTAAAGAGAACCATTTCCATTAACTAATTGCACCTCAAATATTTTTAAATTGTGAACAATTTCTTATGAAAATGGTCAAAGAGGACAAAGAGATTAACTAAGCCCAATGGATAAATTCACAAAGTATATATTTTGTGACTCTTTAAAAAAGGCTAATATAACCATGATTCTAATAGGTTCCCTTAGTTACTGGTTCCCCAATTAAATTAAGGTGGCTAATTGTAGGAAAATTAAAACCACCAGATTGGCAAACTTTACGTACCTGCTCTACTAAATTTTTGTGTTGCTAAAAACCTTAAGCACTTCTCAGAAGTGTCCAGTTGCCCTAGTTTTTGGAAAATATCTTTATTTCATGCACTTAAGACTTTTTCTTTTTGAAATGTTCATCCTAGGTTATCTTTCTGTATCTTTGTGCTTTGGGTAAAACATTGGCTGGAGTGCAGAGGTTGTCTTGTAGACCTTTTATCAGAGTTCATTATGAGAGTTTTTATCAGCAGCTTTGAACATCAGGATGGAATTGAAGATTTTTAGGGCTGGTCCCAGTTTAATACTCATTATTTTGACAATGTCTGCTTGAGTCATTAGAAGAAAAGCTTCCCCATCGATTTGCTGAAAGGAAAAAAAATCTACATGTTAATGACTCCACAGTGTTATGAATGTACTCTCAACTCTATAGCAGTAATTTAAAATGGGACGTATCTGTTCACTATACAGATATAGTGAAATGGAATTTGTTAATCTTAAAAGTGAATTGAATTCTCATTTGTTCATTGCATGAGAAATATTTCTCAATGGTGTTTATCAACTTTCCCCACCAAGACTGTCATCTCTCCTGCTTCTTTAGTTAGCAAAAGTGACTCAGCTATAAAAACAGAGGTCAGCATGGGTTTTGTAAAATAATAATAATAATCTATTCCAGAATTCTTTGAGCACCTGTTCAGCTCAAGTTTCTTTTAACTTATATCCAAAGACTAAAGGCTAATAATAATTTATCTCCTAAAAGACAGAAGCACGCCAGAAGCATGTTGCTTGCTGTATGTAGGAGGTCTGTGAAAAGGCTTCAGAAGAACTTCTCTGGAATATGCTGGAATATGTACAAAGCGCTTTTCACGTTCTTTAAAAAAAGCTGCATCACGGCCGCTGAAGCTGTCTGTAATTTCTTCTGCATGTGTATGCAGGCATAATCACTTCAAGCAAATTCAAGATGATGTGTTGGTTCTAAAACCTCTTTTCAAAGGATTATCACAGCCTTCATATGTAGCTTTTGAAATCTGTCACAATGATTATATGCAAATTCCTGCATACCAATTATAAGCCACTAGTTTAGACTTAAAATAGGATACACAGTAAAGTTATTATATTATATCCCATCCTTTAGAGAAATCCTGATATTTTAAATTATGGTGGTATAGAAATATTTTTATTTTCCTAAACACTCTCTTTATCTTAATCAAGACCATAATGCATCAAAGACACTGGGTTAGTTTAGTCTTCCCCTTTTTTCATTACAAGCAATAAATAGGGACAGAGAACTTGATGACTTCCTGATAGCACTGAATTACAATTGTGAGCACTGCTTACCATGCTGCTTGGACTGGAACTAGATTAGCAACATTTAAAAATTCACAAGTCTGTTATGTATGCAGTAAACAACATCCCAATATATTAAATGGGAATAATTAATTAAAAAAAGAGGTTAGCATCATTGCCCAATTTCTTTTTACTGAATACCTCGCTTTGAAGAATAATTATACTCCCTGAAATGTATGTCACATTGAAACTTTGAACTTACCAGGCACTAGACATTGCCACATGCTTATAACATATGCATATCACGTAATTTAAAGTAACACTTGAAATATTCTAACAACAGTGCCTTTAAAAATGCAGCCTTGATTTAAGAAAGAAGAATTCCAATATCACTTGAATTTCTGGGACAAAATTAATTACACATTTTATTTCACTGAAGTCAGTTTTAAGGCAATTTAGTGAAAATCACGCTGAGAGACTGTCTTCAGAAATGAAATTAAAAACAGGACTGATTTAACATAGACATGTTATCTTTTGCCAATTAAACATTATATGAAACCCTGTAAGGATGCTGAACGTTGATCACTCAAAGGGCTGATCTGTTATACTCACCTCATCTTTGAATACTTTGCCATGCTCCTCACAACCTGGCAAACTCCGAATGAACTCTGAGACCTGCCAATCAATTTTAACAAAATAAAAGAGTAAGAATAATAGAATAACTGTCCATTTAGTTCATTATCTTGGTTCTAAGTGATAGAAATTAGGGGGGGGAAGCAAATGCTTGTTTCAAAAGCTGGCAAGAGTACAATCCCTTCTTCCAATTTTATAAACAGCAATGGTCAGTTCTCTAAAGCCTATATTCCACTTAACCTTTTTTTAGTTCTGTTTAAAGTCCTTGATCTATAACTAATTTTTAGTGGCCATTTGAAGTTACAATGACGCTAAAAAAAGTGACTTGTACCTGGTTTTCTCACTTTTGATCACTGCAACATCTTCGCGGTCATATGATCAAAATTCAGTTGGCAACTGGCATGTATTTATGACAGCTGCATTGTCCCATGACCATTTGTAACCTTCCCAGTTGGCTTCCAACAAGGCAAGTCAATGGGAAAGTTAGATTCACTTAACAACTGCAGCGATTCACTCACTTGTGGCAAAAAGATCATAAAATGGGACATAACTACCTTGCTTAGTAACAGAAAATTTGGAGTCAATTATGTTCAACCATAACTGGGGAGTTGTAGATGTACTTACCTGTAACAGCATTTCATCTATAAATCATGCATTTTGCCTCTTCAAATTTACTGATGTAAAAGTTGATAAAGCAAGAGTGCTTAGCATGTAGACTCTAAGCCCCACCCCACTCCATCTATGCCTGACCCACAGCTGTCTCCTGTAGCCCCTGACTGGCAACCTGTAACCCATGCTGAGATCACCGAGATTATCTCCGAAGTCAAGTCAGGCAAAGCTCCTGGCCTTGATGCTATTCCCCCTGATCTGCTAAAATCTAACCCTGAATGGTGGATTCCTCTTTTGGCAAGACACTTTACGTATATTCCTCTGGCAGGGTACCTACCTCCTGGAGCTTAGCAATTATTGTGCCAGTTTTTAAACGAGGAAATAGAAACAACCCAGCTGACTATCACCCCATAAGCCTGCTCTCCATTATTGGGAAATTGTATGCTAAATATCTCCATCGCAGACCCCTCACTTGGGTTGAGGAATCCAATATTATTGATACTGAACAAATTGGGTTTAAAGCGGGTTGTGCCACACTGGATCACTGCTTTGTCCTAGCGCACCTGGTCGACAAATATACTACTATACCAGATGGCAAACTCTTCACTGCTTTCATCGACCTAAAGTCAGCGTTTGACTCAGTCCCTAGGGGTCTGTTGTGGTCAAAACTGCTCAAAAGTTCTATCAACAGATGTTTGTTGTTCTTAATTAGGTCCTTGCATAATCAGACCTCCAGCCAGGTTAGGTGTGTTCTGCAGGGAGAACTCTCTAATCCTATCCCGATTAAGAATGGAGTAAGGCAGGGATGTGTTCTGGCGCCTCTTCTGTTTAATATATTTTTATCTGACCTGGCCGGTTACATTGGACATATTGAGTCCCACTCCTGAAGCTGACAACTACAAAGATCCTGCTTCTTCTTTACGCTGATGATGCGTTTCTCCTTTCATTGTCAAGGCCAGGACTGAAAATATTACTTTCTGCTTTGGGGTCTTACTATGCTGAAAACCATTTGGCTATTAATTATGATAAATCGAAAGTACTAGTGTTTACTAGAGCCTGCAAATTGTATAACTGGGCTATCAGTGGCAATGTTGTTAAGCAGGTTTTCCATTTTAAGTATTTAGGTATTCAATTTCAGAACACTGGTGCCTGGATTAGACACCAAACCCAGGTGCTGAACAGATTTTAAGATTCTTTTATACCCAGGGTGGCCAGTTCATTCCTTCTGCCAAAACATTAACCCAAACCCGGTATTCCCATATGATTACGGGGTTTCAAGGATTGCATTGAAAGAACCCAGGCTGCTTTTCTTAGAAAACTTCTGGGTCTTCGCCCTTATGTTGGTTTCGCCCTGGAACTGGGCATTCGATCGGTGGAATGTATGGCCTGGATTAACACCTTTAAATGGTGGTTTCGGGTGCTTTTTCTGGCAGTTACCTCTCCCTAGCGTTTGCGGACTCCTATATTTCTTGCTGGGAGAAAGAGCTGCTGAAGAAATTACATCTGCTAGGTTTTACGGAGGATGCCTTGGGAAACTACGGCCTTAAGGACGCCCAATTTAGGGTAGTCCAACGGCTTGTGGACATTGATTTACAATATCTACGAGCCAGAGCCAACAAAACTTGCTCCACCCTGACTCTCAACCAACTTAATAATTATGGATTGAGGATGGCTTCCTATTTTTATACTTTAACCATTCCCAAGTATAGAAGAGCTTTTTCCCTAGCTCGCTTTAATGTCTTGCCTCAGCACTTTTGGATGGTCGTTTTAAGAGGCTCCCGATTAACAAGTGGCTATGCCCTTGTGACAGAGCCGAGGTTGAAACTGTGGAGCACGTCCTTCTATTTTGCCCCATGTATAATGCAGACAGATCTAAGTTACTGTCTCTTCTTGAAATCGTCCCTTCTAGACCTAATGGCTGTAATTTGTATGTATATTGCCTTGGAGATGGACCCTCATACATCACCTCTCAGGTTTCCAAATTTTTCTTAAGAGCTGTAACCATTAGAGAACGCTGTAACTTCCCTTAGTTAAGCTTTTGGTGACTGATTGCTATGATGCTATGATCAATTCTCTTATGTCTCTTTTGTAGTACTCGTGTTTTGGTCTGTGACCGTAAATAAAATTTTATATATATATATATATATATTCCAGTTTTTAAAATGAAAATTCCATTTTAAGTCATACCTCATCTGTGCTCCATTTAGAAACTTTACTGGCAGGAATCCCAGCCACTGTAGGAAGGAGCTTACTGTGCTGTTCCCACCGCAATGGAAATGCAGGAATTGTGAGTTTGGAAGATAAAATGACTGGCTGTGGATGGGAACTTCTGCTATTGGTTTCCTTGCTGTCTGCAAGCAATAATAAAACAAGTCTTACGATATGATCACACTTGTAAAGGAAAGGTATGTTCAGTATAACGTACTTGGCCCATTTGACTTATTATTACTAAATAGTATTAATTAATGAATACTCTATATACTATAGAGTACAGCAATAGCACTTATATACCGCTTCACAGTGCTTTATAGCCCTCTCTAAGCAGTTTACAGAATCAGCATATTGCCCCCAACAAAGTGTTTTTTTTACCCAACCTTGGAAGGCTGAGTCAACCTTTAAACTATCTTATGTGCTTACTGCTATGAAAAACAATGGAAACTGTTCAGCCATCATTTTTTCTGCACTAAAAAAAAAACTATACCATTGCTTCATTTCCCAATGGTATATGGGAAATTCCTAGTCCCTTCCTTAAATATTGCCATCTTATAGGAACTAGGAAGTGTATCTTTTCATTTGTAAGCCCCTGCGCTATGGAACACTCTGCTCCCTGAAGATCTACCCTCCTATAAAGCACTGAGACCTGGGGTCCTGCAAACTCTGGGATAAGTTAAGTGGACTACACATTGGAAGCTTGACTTGGTGCTATGATTTTGGTTTTAGTTTTAATAGTTTTAATATGGCTTTTGGGTTATTTTAATTTTTCTCTGGGATGCTGTGATTGTCATTGTTGTTGGTTTTTAAACCCAAACCTGAAATTTCTTACTGGGCACTCTGTTGTAATATTTTCTTCTATTTATCTCCTTTTTATGGTTGTCCATAAATGCCAGTTTCACAAACCCAGCACACACTAGTCCTGGATGAACAATTCACTGCAACTTATAGCTGGTCACTCACAATTCACCTAACACAAATGAAAGCTTTACCTCTACATTGTCCTATGAGAGACTGCTTTTCCTTCTATTTTTTCATACTGAATTCTGCATTCTTCCTTTGACTACAACTACTAGTTTGATGATAATAAAGATGATGACAATATTGACTTTGTTAGTATGTCTGTATTCTATAAACTGCCTAGTCTCCTGGGATTTAAAACAATCCCACGTCTTAAAATAAAAAATAAGTTAAGTAAATTCCATCTTTAGTCACTTAGTATAAATCATTATTTTTATGTTTACTTATATCTTTATTTATTTATTTTTTGCCATTGTGAACTCAGAGTAGAATTCAGGGAGACATGGCCTGAATCCCCTAAAGGCAATTTAAAACTAAACAGTGTTAGGAAGACAACTTAGTGTGGTTCTGGTTTTTCATAAAATGCTTTATTAATGAAATTATTCCATAAAGCCAATTGGAAGTATTAATTTGTGTCACTAGAGAAACTCTTGTACAGCACATGTAGCAATAAATAACAGCTACCTTTGGTTTCATTTATAGATAATACTTCATTTTCCATTTTTCTTTCTTCGCAGCCAACTTTCCCAGTGAGTTCCTTGGCATGTTCTCCCCTAAGTAATACAGAAGCTTCACATTTAATTATCTGGTAATGATAATAATATAGGGTTTTTTCACTTCTAGCTAAACATTTTATAAGATATATAATACAAATTATAATGTATGTAAAATAAAATATAGAAATTGAAATAAAATTATTTCTCAAAACAAAACAATAACAAGAAATCTTGTTTCATAAACTAATATTAACTTATATAATTAATTTTTCTGGCTACTATATAAAATTGTACAAAACCAAAAACCAACTTAATATTTCCATCTCTATTGTCTTCCATTAAAAAAAACCCAGTGATATCTTTATATATCAAGGCAAGATGTTTTCTTTAGAGTGGAACATCATATAAAATTACTTTGAATTCCTTCTACAATTTTATTAAGTGTTAAATGATGAGTCCATAGATAATTGATTCCACAGAATGCACACCAGGCATATAAAACCCCAAGGATGTGATATCATGGTTCTAGCAAATGGAATTGGCAACACCTTTTGATCTACAAACCATATTACTTGCTCAAACATGTAAGGAATTTTAAAAAGCCTGAAGCCACCAAGTGATAATATGGCTATATTCGAAGACATTGGACAGACTGTTTGAAAAGATGCAAGTCATTCAATAAAAGTGGGGAGCTGTAGATGTAAAAAAAAACCCACTGTTCTCAGCAGTCAAAAACTAGAAACATTGTATATTCCTAAATTAGAACTTATACGAAATTTATCCATCCATCCAATATATATCCCATCCATCTAAAAAAAAACAACCCAACAACATTTGGGCAGTGAACAAAGTTAAATATAACATTCTATTAAAACTAAAAAGAAAATAAATTCCACTTATCACACACATTCACACCAGAACTCCAGAATTAATATCCCATTCTAATGCCTGCAGAAAGAGTCTTCCCAGCCTTCTAAAAGACCAATAGTCAAGATCATCCACATATCAAGGGAAGCTGCTTCATAGGGTTGTTGCCATGACAGAGAAAGCATGCTTTCTGGGACCCAGCAGTGACACTGCTTCACTAGGGACCCCAGAACATTCTCACTGTGGCATTGTGAGAAGGGTAGAAACCACTGGAATTTGGGAGTCCTGCAAGCAATCTGGCTCCATGCCATGCAGGTCTTTAAAAGTGACCGTTAGCCAGTGGAATCCATATATGTTATATGGTTAAATGGGCATACCATGGTGCGCTCAAAATTACATCTGTTGCTATATCCCAGACTACCTTAAGCTTCCAATTGGTCTTCAAAGGAAGCTTCACATGGAATACATTGCAACCGTTCTTCCAAGAAACATCTAAAACGTGAGTAGTTGCAAGCAATGCCCCTCAATTTAGGAACAGATGCAACAAGTGAACAATATGTATTTATACAAAAGCTCCTCAAGCTGGAGCCATCAATATGGTAGAAACTTCTTGCTGTGTACCAACTGTGCTTATGGCAGTGTAACCCCATTCAGACTTAATGATGGAAAATTGAAGGATTGTACAGCCAGGGTTGATCTGAATCCAAGATTTCCGCAACCAGACCCATACTTCCTCCATGCATTAGGAAAACACCTCATTTGGATGATCTGGGATAGAGGTGTACAATTAAGTATTATCATTGTGCTGATGACATTTATCTCCATGCTGAGGGATGACCTTAATGGATGACAGTTTCATGTATATGTACAATAGGAGTAGGGGGAGAATCAAGTCATATGGCACAATACAAAGTAGAAAGTTAGGGCTGGATGTCTCTCCACCCTATCAATGCTAACTGGAATTGGTTTCAGAGGGAGGAAGGACTGAAGAACAGTGGGAAGTCATTATCCTTCTCTGAATGAATAACTTTATAACGAAGTAATGTCAAACAGAAAACCTTGGTGTCTGACTACTAAAGATGCATAGAGTTGACAGCCTTGAAAACAAGCGAGGAAAAACTAGCATTTTTCAGGATAATTTGTACATAATAATTTTCCTGGCACCTTTACACAATATATTCTACAGCAAAGCTGTCAAAAGTAAGACATTTTAGATCCTCGTTGAATTTACAGTATCCCATTGTACTCCAGAAAAATGACTGAACTATTTTCAGGAATAGGAAATTATGCCAAGCCATAAGATGTTTCATATCGAAGCGTCATTCTTTTTTAATTAGCCATGCAGATGAAATAAGAATATGGGCAAAAGACAGTTTCTTGCCAGCAGATGCTGGCAGGTGGTCCATTTCAGGAGAGAAAAAAATTATATTCAAACGTATCAAGCAAAAAAGGCCTGTTATATTGGAATTCTGTTTACTATCAATGGATCTATTGACACATAAGACTAAATCATAAAGCGATTTTTATTGTTATAGATTAGCCTAGGAAATTATGTTATATCCGAACCAGACCATTATTTTTTCTTTAACAATTTTGGCTTAGCATAGCTGTGTGAGCAGTGCAACTATCGTATCTATTTGCAAGCTCCACATATGAGCCTATAGCAAGGTGCCACTAGATAAAGAAACCATTTGCTGCTCAACCTGAAAGGAGAGTGCCCTAAGGGTTCTGTGTCCTTCATTTAATGTGGAAATGCATTAAACTAAAACGTGCTGAAAAAGAAGACGTTTTTATCTCAACAGCAGGCTATCCAGCTGTACAACAGCAGGGCTCTTCACCAACCCACTTTTGGCATGCTTGCTATCAACAGAAATACCTCTTAGATTTTTAATGTTAATTGTGTTTAAAGCAAGTAAGAGTATGAAATACTTTAGGACATGAACTCCTTGTACAAAAAAATGTTGTTTCTCAGATTCATTTACTTTATTTTCCTGTGTTTGTAAGTAAAAATAAAACTGGTTAGCCACATACATTTCCTTTTGCAACTGCAATTATGTGGGGAAAAAACCAAGCATGATTAAAGGGAGGATTGACCAACAACTCTATAATTTAACAAATAGAGATGCACTTAAATAAATTTTAATTGTTAGATGTTCTATTTTGAAATATAGAAAATAATTAAGTTACCTAATGTCAGTAGTAAAGCAAAGAATTGGGTACAGTTTTAAAGAAATAACTGCAATAGAACCTAGTCAGATGAGTATTTATTGGAAAAACACACATGTAACTGTCAATCAATCTGCTGTCAATAAGCCCACTATTTAAATTTAGAATCATAAGTATATTGCAATACTGAAATGTGCAACATTGAAAAACAAGAAGCAGGTAATCCTTAATTAACAGCTGGTCGTTTTACGAAAGTTTGTAGTTATAAAGACCTCAGGCTGGGTGCTTTATGGTTTGCAATGCACTTCTGCCCACTGAAATACGTCACACACACCTCCCAGTAGACACATGACTGCACTTTACAACAGGCTGCAATATCCCATGGTCACGTGACCAATTTGTGATGTTTTTGTTGGGTTTCCAGCATTTTTGCCAGTTTCCGGCAAAAAAATCCCACCCTTGCCCATTCAAAAGAATGGGTTTGCTGAACCTTTTTAATCACTATGAAGTTTTAAAAAAATAGATCCAGACTAGTGGTGTCTTAATTTATGATCACAATAACTTATGACTGAGTTTCCTGTAAGAGAACAATATCTATATTCTGCAGCAATGAAAACAGTTAAGAGAAACTGGTCAAAACAAAATAAGACAGTTAGGTATTACCTGCTATCATTGCTTACAATGCAAGCTCAAATTCATTTTAAATATTTAATTCAATAATGTTCAGAATACAGTGAAGGAAACTTCAATATCAATTCATAGACTTTGATTTTTGCTTAGAATGTTGCATGAAGTTGGCTACTGTGAACTATAAATCATTGTTTGTGCCTTAATGTGTTGTGAACCTACCTAATTCTTAAGCATGATGATCTAATGTGATGTATGAATAAATGAATGTTGAGTGGCCGCTCAGAGATGAACAGCCATTCAACATTTATATCTTCCAGTTTCAGGGAAGCAGTTTCTAGTTATGAAGAGCATTACTCGGAATATAAGACGCACCTTTTTACCCCCTAGAAGAGGGTGAAAATTTGGCTGTGTCTGTAGCCCCACCCACTGGCCCCCACCCTTTGGCCTCTGCCTCCCAGAAATTTACCTCTTTGCAGCAAACAGAGAAAATGGGACTTGCGAAGGTGGCAGTAGGCTATGGCAATCCCTGCAGCCTGAAACAGCTGATGATCGGGGGCCCAGAGTTTAAACTGAAATTGAAAGCTAAACTTGCTGTTCTCTGCAACAAGGCAAATTGCTGAGGGGCAGATTTTTTTTCCTTTTAATCAGGCTAAACTGAAACAGGCTATTTGCTGCAAGGAGGTAAGTCAATAACTATAAATGCCTACAGAATGTTCAAATTATTACTTATTTTTTAAAGACTGCTTTATTATTGTTCTAGACAACTTAAAATGAGGAAGCTTTTTAAAATAAATGCTTGATCTGAAGTGCTTTTGTATCTTCTTTTAAATAGCAGAGAATAATGTATACTTCCTGAAAGCCACATCAATTTTAACAGCAGCTGTACAAGTACAGTCTGAAATGTGATATCACACACAGTGTATATCTTCTGTAGAGTTTGCTGTTTGGTGCAAGGAGGCAAATTGCTGGAAGGCAGAGGCAGATTTTTTTTCTCTTGTTTTCATCCCCAAAATCTAGGTGCGTCTTATACTTTGGAGCGTCTTATACTCCAAAAAATACGGTAAGTGTATCCTTGTGTCTTGGGAAGGACAAGGCGATTTGGAATCACCTGTAAAAACTATACTACTCAGCAATGTAATAGGGCTGGACAGTTGCTTTATTTGCAACTCTCTGGACTTTGCAGGACAGAGAACTGCAAATAAAGCATCTCTCTTCAAACCTTCAAAGCAGCCCACACTGGTTTAAGACTCACGTGGCTGCTTCAGTTTCTGACACTTCACTTTCTAAGCAGCATATAAACTCATCAAGAGGTTTGGCTGGTTCAACTAATAAAAAAGAAGTGTTTGGGTTGCACTTCTTCATATTTGTGAAGCGTCTGGAGCAGGGGTGGATTCTGGCAGCCACTATTGCCAGTTCAGTCATGGCCGCACACTTGCATCATGTGCGCTGCGTGTGCATGCACAGTACAATAAAAATTGTTCTGCGCATGCATAGAAGCAAAAAACAAGATGGCGGCTATGGCACCACCAAGAGAACCAGTTCGGGGGTGTGGCAGGCTGGGTCGCTGCCGGTTCCAACAACCCAGACCGCCAAACCACTACCGGTTTGGCTGAACTGGCCCAAACGGTAGGGCCCCACCACTGGTCTGGAGAAGACACTTATTCCAGGAAAATGTAGTCATTGTTAAGCTATTGATTAATTTTAAAAGTCTTAGTACTTTAAGTAGTAATTAATCTCTAATATTTTTCTTATTTCTAGCTATGTTACACCTTTCAAAGATATTTGATGCACATTTAAAAATAGCCTAGACTCCAGAAACAGATGTGACAGGAAGAATGAGATATTGTCCACTCTGAATACAAAAATAAATGAAAAACATGAACATAGATTAACATTAAATTAACATTAAAATGATAAAGACACTTTTTAAATGAAGTTTTAAAATGGATGTAGAATTTCTGTGACAGTACTTAGCATTGGTCTGCAGAATTTCCTACTAATTAGGAAAAGACTGAATATTCATTTTTGGTTCTTCTGTTCTCCTTTCTAGGACACTAATATTGAAAAATAAACTTCTAGACATTATAATTACTGAAAATAATTTGATCCAGTTTTAAGGGATTGAATTGCTTTTTAATTAAATAGGATGCTACAGTAATCCAGACAGTGCTGTGAAATATGAACTGTATGCAATTAAATTTCCCAACCTGATGCTTTATCCCTAGTCATAGGTTGTTATAACTAGTTAATACTATGGATGTTATGAATATAGTGCATTTTAATATTAACTCTGGGATATTTCATTATACTATCTGTAACATAATCACCACATCAAATTCTCAAACAGTTTTTTTCCTCTGTCTATTGCTATTAGTGCTGTGATACTGTTTTCTTTTTTCTTTCATACACAAGTTGTTTATTATTATTATAAAGCAACAACAGAATTGTATCACAGCGGCCAGTTGTTTCGCTGGATTTGGCATTGATTACTAGTCGGGCCCCANAATCCTGGTTTAGGAGATACCAATTGTCAAGAAAAAGACCTCCACATATTCTATAATTATACTGAATAAACATGACGTCAGTTAATACCTGAACAACTTGGCTTTCTTGGAAAAAAGGTTTTTCTTTTTAAGGCAACAAACCTAGATCAGACCCCTTCTGCTCTTCCAGCAAAGCTCCTGTAGTTCTCTTTGCCTCCGCCAGGCTAGCAGAATTATTTAAAACTGGAGAAATAATCAAGATGTAAATTTATGTAAGATTAAATGGCTTCCAGCACTGCCACCAATGGGTGGCTCATTGGAAATCTGCCAACTCAAAAAACGGTCGCAGCTGGATGACCTTTTAGTCCTTCAGAATTCCAGAAACTGCTTCTGTCTAGGTCTCAATGAGATCTGGAAACTTAATCCAATCATGTACAAGTCATTGCCAGAACAATTATTTGCAAGATCAGCACACTAGGAAACAAAAACAAGGGAAGAGCCAACACCGTTCTTCCTCACCGATGTCAACAGGCAAGCATTTTTAAACCTAACTTTTCCCATCATCGCACCCCCACGCTAAAAGTGCCATGCTGCCTTCTTTCTTTTTCCTGCCTATCACACCAGGCCTCCACATCTCGGTGAGACAAACATCAGCAGGCAGCCAACATTTCTTTCCGATTTCTACTTTCTTGCTGATCTGTCCTCCGGTGGTGGCAATGCCTGTGGTCATGTTTGCAAAATGCACAGATAGACCTTTGCCTCTGGATCAAGAGCCCTTTGTAGGTCTCCTTCGCTTGCTTTTCTTCGAAGGCTTCTGATTAGCATCTTAATTGAGAGGGCTGAGGTGGCAGCTGCTAATTATTCTCCTGCAAGTCATCCTGCCAGCATGACTAGGAACAGGTGGCAGCAGGGCTGAATTTAGCTCACAAGCTCTCGTGCACAGGCGGGCGGGGGAGGGCCAGCTAATGAGAGGTTTCTGCCATAAAAGAAATCTTATGGCCCAGTTCTAGGGCTCCCCCTCCCGCCACCGCAGCCCCTCAGAACCAGAATAAATGGCAGCTGCTGTTATTGAGTAAGGTTAACCTTCCTAGTTGCTGCCTTGTGCCCAGCAACATAATTTCTCCTCAGCTTATGTCAGGGCTGGCCCTAAGGCAGGAGGTGGGTTAATCCCAGTTTGGCCCGGATCAGGAGAAGCAGTAGTAGCAGCAGTGAGAGGCTCTGTCCACCTGCCCGGACACTTCTGCGCATGTGCACCCGAACTGGTAGTAAAAAAATTGGCAGCCCACCA